ATAGATAGATAGATAGATAGATAGATAGATAGATAGATAGCATGTGTATTCCGCAGAGTCCCGCTCTAGCAAGCGCCATGCGTTTTTACAATCTATTCAAAGAACAAAGCTAAAAGATCAAGTAAAAATTTAAGTTTTGCAAGTACACAAAGAAAGCCTTTTCTCAAATATTCAAGGATTATTTGGTCGCTTTTAAGGACAAGCGGGCTAACCCAGATTTCGGGGGGCTCCAGAAATCTTGACCTACACCAAAAAATGGGCATTGCACTACCTATAGGAGAACTTCGGTTTCTTTTGGTGTGCATATTTGTTTGGTTGTAGAGAAAACTCTCCTTGTCTTTTAAAGAAACTTAACGAGGGGCAAAAACTTTAACTTCGATTTTCTCAAACAGCATTTTCGGGACAGTTCCTTTGTGCTTAAAAGCGACTATTTAAGATGTAGAAACTCCAGATAAAACGCCAGTCTCGGATTGGACAGACCGAAGTAGACGAAGAGCTTTGATAAACTCCCCAGGCAACCCAAGTTCAAGGAAGCGCCATATTACTGCAAGACCCACAAGCTAGAAGATAATAATATTTTTTATTCTTGGAAAAAACCTCGAAAGTGTTGAATGCTACAGGATCTTCATTCTTCTTCGAGTACTCCTACGAGATCTTTCGAGTTGTCGACTGCTGGTTCTTCAACATGAAGTGCAAGTCGTTTTTACGTATGTGACCGTGTTGTGGGATTAAATCAGTCTTTTGGTTGTCGTTGTTGTTGTTGTTGTTGTTGTTGTTTTGTTGCTGCTGTTTTTGTTATTGTTATTGTTGGTGTTGTTGTTGTTGTTGTTGTTGTTAATACTTTGCTGATGCTGTCCTTCTCATGAATTATTTTTTAAAGCATTTTTAATCCTCCAAATCGTTGGATTGACCATTTGGAACCTGGAGAAGAATCACAGAAATTGATGTACAGAAAAGTGGGAAGACATGAATTAACATCAAGAGGCTAAAATAGCCCATGATAGAGAAAGGTGAAACGTGTTTATTCGTGGCCTTTACCCTGATGCAAGGAGAGGAAGGCAATCATTTTAAAGAGAGAAACCGCACTCATGAATCCCTCAGATACCTAGATCCCTACTCCTTTTTTATTTAGTCTTTGTCGGTTAGAGAAGAGGTCGGAGCTTAAATCAAGGACCATCTCCTATCGAAATGAGCCGAGACATAAAGCTTTACAACTCTGAAGTTTAGCCTCAGAAAAACACGTTTACATGATTGTGTATCACACAGACAGACAGACAGACAGACAGACAGACAGACAG